GAAATGGTACAAACTTTTTAGAATTAATGGGGAGACGTGAGTCCTCCCTCACAAGAAGCACTTTATTTCCTAAGTATGATAAGGAAAGAGACACCCATACCATGAGGAAACTGCCCAATATAGAGAACAAAGATTTTTAAAACAACCAGGGGATTTACAAAAAAAAGGCAATTATCTACAGAAAAATAAGAGTTGGACTGAAGATGAATTTTTTTTATAAAAGATTTTATTTATTTATTTGGCAGACAGAGATCACAAGTAGGCAGAGAGGCAGGCAGAGAGAGAGAGGAGGAAGCCGGCTCCCTGCTGAGCAGACAGCCCAATGCAGGGCTCTATCCCAGGACCCTGAGATCATGACCTGAGCCGAAGGCAGAGGCTTTAACCCACTGAGCCACCCAGGCGCCCCTGACGATGAATTTTGAGCAGCAACAATGAAAGCCAGAAGCACACTATTAATTCAAAACCACTGGGTAGCCTGGGTGGCCCAGTTGGTCGAGCCTGGGAATTTTGGCTTCAGCTCAGGTTATGATCTCAGGGTGCTGAGACTGAGTCCCATGTCCGGCTAGCACTCAGCACGGTGTCCGCTTGGGTCTTTCTCTCTCTCTCTCTCCCTCTGCCTCTCCCCCAACAACATAAATAAATAAATAAATCTTTAATTCCAAAGCACCAAAAGAAAACAATTGCCAACCTAGAATTATATGTTTGGGAAGTTATCTTTCAAGAACAGAGATATTTTTGAGTGCCTGGATGGCTCAGTCAGTCGAGCATCTGCCTTCAGCTCAGGTCATGATCCTGGGGGCCCCGAGATCGAGGCTCATGTCTGTTCCCACTACATGGGGAGTCACCTTCTCCCTCTGCCCTTCCCTCTGCTCGTGCTCCCTCTCCCTCTCTCTCAAATAAATAAGTGTAATCTTAAAAAAAAAAAAAAAAAGAATAGAGATATTTTTGGGTACCTGGCTGGCTCAGTTGGTAGAGCATGCAACTCTTGACCTTGGGGTTGTAAGTTCGAGCCCCACATCTGGTGTTGAGATTACTTAAAAATAAAATCTTAAAAAAAAAATAGAGATATTTTCAAACAAATGGAACCACCAGCATCTCTCTCTGAAGGACTCTCTGGAAAGCATACTTCAGGGAGAAGGAAAACCCTCCCAGACAGAAGGTCTAAAAGGCAAGAAGGACCCAGTGAGGGGCACCTGGGTGGCTCAGTGGGTTGGGGCCTCTGCCTTCGGCTCATGTCATGATCTCAGGGTCCTGGGATAGAGCCCTGCATCGGGCTCTCTGCTCAGCAGGGGGCCTGCTTCCTCCTCTCTCTCTGCCTACTTGTGATCTCTGTCAAATAAATAAATAAAATATTAACAAAAAGAAGAAGAAGAAGAAGAAGAAGAAGAAGAAGAAGAAGAAGAAGGACCCAGTGAGTAAAGGAAATGGTAAACATGTGGATTAGCTAACAAATCTCGACCATACAGAAACAAACAAACAAACAAACAATCACAAATGTGTGGATTTGCAAAACAGAACTGCAGTACTGGATAAGAATAACATGGAAGCCAGAGTCAACATACTCTGGGAGTAAAGCCTTTTAAAGTGATTGTATTTTTTGAAAGGAGGGATATTTATGAACCAGAAGACCCATTAAGTATATTAAAATGTAGGATAATCACTAACAGTGTAGAGGTAAGTGGTTGAGTATGAAGACAAAAACATCAGCTAAAGATATTAAGGTTTAAATAACAGATTAATGAAGTTGGTCAAATGCACATAGGTAGAACTCGGCACACAGCAATTACATAACAGCATTCTTGAGTCCGCATGGAGCATTGTACATAAATGTGAGCATTTTCTAGACCATGAAGGAAATCTCCACAAACTCCAAAGAACAGGTATCATTCAGGTCACTTTCTCTGACCCAATTACCACTAATTTAGAAACCAGCAAGGAAAGGCATGCTAAAATTAGGAAGTGTAAAAGCACTTATAAATTACTTCATGGATCAAAGACAAAAGCCAGACACTTAGACAAAAGAAGAAAATTTGGGTTATGGACATGGCAAAGGAGGAGCTAAAATGATCACTGTTTGCAGATGATTCAATCACATAACTGGAAAACCTGAAGGACTGGGCTGAAAAATTACTAGAAACAAAAAGAGAAGTCAGTAAGATAGGTACAAAATTAAACGTACAGAAACCAATAGTTTTTAGAAAATCAACCAACAACTGATTAGGAATAAGGCGAAAGGGGGCAGACATAGGAACAAAGCATTTCACATTCATTTTATATGTTGTTTAGATTTTTTTTTTTTAAGATTTTTTAAAAATTTATTTGACAGGCAGATCACAAGTAGGCAGAGAGGCAGGCAGAGAGAGACAGGAGGAGGAGCAGGCTCCCTGCTGAGCAGAGAGCCCGATGCGGGGCTCGATCCCAGGCCCCTGAGATCATGACCTGAGCCGCAGGCAGAGGCTTTAACCACAGAGCCACCCAGGCACCCCTGTTGTTTAGATTTTTAAATATATGAATATATGAATATGTTATGGATAGATGAATATATTATGATTATATTACCTTGTCAAACAAAAAAGTTATGAACATCAGTGAGCGTTGTACTCCTTGAGGATACAGACAGACCTTATAAGGGACATTGGTGCATGGATAGTTTTTAAGGGCAGGGTGTCAGGCAGGCATACTGAGGGACCTGGGACAGCTAAAAGGTCAGGAAGAGAGCAGGTTCCTAGAACAAAATCTCTGACCTCAACATCTAAGAGCTCGGGGATGCGATGTCCCTGGTGGTGGCTTATGTGGCAGTGAATGGAGTAAACAGGGGCTCCCTTGCAGGCCCCCTATGACCACATGTGTGAATTCTGTATGTCACCTGTGTGACCCACTTGTCCTAATGTGACTTCTCTTGTGGGTGCCCCAGTTATTATGTCCCATTCATAGCCCATATGTGTGTCTGACCCAGTGTGTGACCTTCCCATGTGTCTCCTCTGTTGACCCCATTCATGCGACCCTTGCCCTCTAGCTTCCAACTGAGTTAGGCTGATGCGGCGTACCAACTGGGGGAGGAAAGGAAGAAGCATGGACAGAATGAAGACCAACGAAACACGAAAGCAGGGCCACATGCTCTGAGCTTGCTGTAGAACGGAGTCCGAGACCAGCACCTGTGTTTCAGCGGAGACCCAGAGGCGGGCAGGGGGTGGGAGGAGGGCTTTACAAGTGGCTTGGGGAAGCTGGAAACAGGCTGTGTGATTGCTCACAGGTGCACTTTGCTTTTCTCTGGCTGCTCCTAAGTCGGAGGCAGGGACAAAATTCAGGGCAGCTGTGAGTGGTTAATCAAGTCCTGCCATTTGGGGCTGATTGTTCTAGAAGTCATTGCTTGGCTTTCTGGATTGCTGTTGGAGATAGCAGTCTGACTTCCTACAAGTCCCACTTACAGCCAGTTGCCTTCCTGGGCTGGTTACCGTCCTGAGTAGTAGATGGTGTGTTGGAGCCCCCCCCCCCTTTATTTTCTTAAATAATCTCTGTGCCCAACATGAGGCTCGAACTCACAACCCTAAACTCAAGAGTTGTGTGCTCTACTGAATGAGCCAGCCAGGCGCCCTTGGGGTTCTACTTTGATATGGGCCTGGCATTGTCCATTCGTATATTTATTCTCTCAAAGGCTGTTTATCCCCCAGCTGCTTCCCTATGGGGTCACTGCAACCTGTGGCCTCAGCGGAGGTTCACAGATCACATCAGGTGGCCTCTCTGCAGGGTCCCCTGGGTCCCCAAGTGCAGGTAAGCACTGCCTCCCCTCAGGTCTGCAGGCCCCAGGCTCAGAGACCCTGGTGGGACTCTCCAAGGGACTCATGAGTGCGTCCTGTCGTCCTTGGTTCCAGAGAGATGGAATATGGTTGGGCATCAGAATCTACTCCTTCAGGAGACAGAGCACAATTGCAACCAAAGCTTTGAGAATTCGGCAGTGAGCCCGGTTTCTGTTTCCTCCCCACATCCCATTTGAACTTGGTGCTTCAGAGGAGGGCAGGGGGACCAGGGGGACCTCAGCCCAGGGGCACACAGCAACATGTGGAGGGGTCCCTACCAGCACATTCCCCTGAGCTGCCCTTACAGGGGAAAATTCTAGAAGCTGAATGTCAGAAAGAAACAGAGCGACATCTGCCACCTTTATCTTCAAGAGATGCGGAAAACAGACAGTGGCAAAGAATAGACACAAAAGTGACCGGGGGAAACCCAGATGTATTTTGAAGTGTCCCGAGCACGTTCTAGAAATAGAAGGTCTCTCATGTATCAAACAGAATGATAAACCCACACACTCACACATGGGACTGGAAAGGAACATGCTGAAACACTAGCCAGTGATTATCCCTGGGTGGTGAGAGGACAGATTTTTATTTTGTCTTTGTGCCCATGTTTCTCATTTTCCCCACAACGAATGGTAAAGAATGGTGGCAAGTGTGCCAAATGGGGTGGGTCTGAGGGGCTGCTTGGCTCCACATCCTGGTTTTGTCTCTGATCAGTTGTGTGACGTGGGTGATTTATTTTATTTCTTTTTCACTGCTCAGTACCCAAAACCCTCCTCTGGAGAATGGGAACAATAAAGGTTCCTACCTCATAGGGTTCAGTGAGTAAATTTATGGAGAGTGCTTCAAACAGCGACGGACAGGCACAAAGTAAACACCACAAACTGTGGTGCTGGGTATTATTATCATTATTATTCCAACACTTACTATATCCAAAGCCAGAAACTTCTGGTTAGATTAGTTGGTAAGGGAAGGTCACGTGAGTCCAGCACTCGGGACGTGAGAGCATTCGGCTGCCTGTCTGACCGGTGATTCTGTGCTCTGTGTGCTGTGAAGGGATCATGCAAATCCACATGGGTCTGGCCACAGTGGCAACCACAGGCAGCCCGACTCTGTGCATAGCCCCCCTCCCCAACCTGCGCGATCTTGACCCTAGCCGGGAACGCAGAGAACAGAAAGACAGCGCTGCCCTCTTAGAGACGCGGCTCACCAGCAGAGGGCGCAAGCGGCAAACCCAGGAAAAGTCCGGCCGAGAACTTAGAAAATCTTTTTCCTCTGACACAGTGAGTACTTTTGAGATTTTCTGTTTGAGTACCCCTAAAAGACTTTCTGGAAATCAGTGTAACCTTTGCATATTTTGTAGTGGGCACCTAACACTTTTTGTGATAATTAAAAACCGTTTCAAGAGATGGCATGTTATAAATAGTAATGTGTTAAAATCTGTAGTTACATCATTTTCTAAATATAGCCCGTGAAGTGTAAACACCGTCACGATTTGATACTCTGATGCATTTTAAAAAGACAAGAACAAACTCCTATGTGCTGGTTCCTTTTTCTCTTTGTATGTCCCTGTTCCTCCCTCTACAAATTCAGGATAATACGCACTTTCCATGCTGGATGACTTTTTATTTTACCCCCCCCCCCCCGTCATACTTCTCTCCATAAAAATGCAAATATAAGTTGAAAATTAAAATGCCTATTTCCTGAGACTTTAGAGGTCTAAGCGTTAACAACTTTTCTTTGGGATGGAATTATCACTGATTAGTATTAGCGCAGCGCTCAAACAGCACAGATGTATTAGGAGTTTTGGTAACAGAGCTTGAAATGGTCAGATTTCAAGTTTTTACACCCTGGGGCAGTGCACCGTAGGGAGAAGGTGGGTTTTCTGGTGATAAAGACCGAACAGAGAAAGGGCAAACCAAAAGAACACTCAACCCACGGTGTGCTTTTCTCAGGCAGGGTGCTTGTAACAAGGAAATGGAGAGTCTGGAAAACCAGTTCCTTAAAACTGATCTTGTCACAGATTCCCTTGGAAAGTCTTCCTGTGTCCTGGGGTGTGCTGTCAAAACCTATTATTTAGAAAATAGAAAAGCCAAATAAGTACATTGGCCACTGGACTGGGGTGGGGGTGGGGGTGGGGGTCTGTGTTGGCCCAGCTGAGTGAATAAAGTAAGAGAGAGATAAAGTAAGAGAGAGATAAAGTAAGGGAGAGCACATTGCAACATGCTTTCATTATAATGAAATGTTCGTGGCCCACGGGGTGGCTGGATCAGAAATCACTGATTGGAGGGGTGCCTGGGTGGCTCAATCTGTAAAGGGTCTGCCTTCAGCTCAGGTCATGATGCCAGGGTTCTGTGGTGGAGCCCCAAGTCAGGCTCCCTGCTGCCGTGGGGCGGGGGGGTGGGTATGCTTCTCCCTCTCCCTCTGCTGTTCCCCCTGCTTCTGCTCTCTCTCTGTGTCAAATAAATAAATAAATAAATAAATAAAATCTTAAAAAAAAAAAATCACTGATCACAGTCAACCCAGAGGAAGCTTCAGGACCAACTCACAGACAGCATCTGTGCAAAGGGATGAAAAGAAAATTTTCCTAGTGACATTGTTCTTTTACTACAGGGAATGGCAGCACAGCTAGCCAGAGCTATGTCTGTTTTAAATGTTTTACATTATTTTTAAGAGTTTATACTACATACTATAAGCATCATACGTGTCTATAATCTATCTAATGGCCTTACTTTGCTCACTGAAATAGTTTACAGCTCTTCAAATTCTGTTTTTAGCAAGTCCTATAAATAGAATCTGAAGGTGAGAAAATGAACATATTTGTAACTCACCTGTTTGTTTTAACTTGTAAAAATAGGGGTAGTTTGTGATTGAATGGAGCTTCAATCCCTTGCTTTTTTGATCACACATGATGTCTGGTCTTTGAGATTTTAAAATAGATGAAATGCGTGCTTCTTAGTGGAAAGGATAAATTTTAATGTTTGACATGTTTACACTTGAATCCTAGTTTGGCCAGTTGCTTTTTTTTTTTTTTTTTAAGATTTTATTTATTTGTTTGACAGAGATCACAAGTAGTCAGAGAGGCAGGCAGAGAGAGAGAGAGGAGGAAGCAGGAGCAGGGAGCCTGATGGGGGGCTCGATCCCCGGACCGTGGGATCATGACCTGAGCCAAAGGCAGAGGTTTTAACTGACTGAGACATCCAAGCGCCCCTGTCCTATGTGTTGAATGCGAGGATTTTACTGGCAACTAGTTATAACCCTTCCAGCATTAATACTCTCTACTCATTGCTCTCTCAAACTTCACTGCTCTCGTGTGGTCCTCTGACCTAGATTAAAGAGATTTGAGGCACTTTAGAGAACAAAACTGCTGGATTCAATATAAATGCAGAAATTTCATAGTCTCTTGGGTCGAGCCTGGTCCTGACAACATGGAGATGTTGGGTGCCTTTTCTGAACCCCCACATCTGAAAATATGGGATTTCTTTGTTTTTGTCACTGTGTGCCTGGGGACAGCAGGCTCGACAATGCATTTGCTGGGTATTCCTGTCTTTCAATGATCGGATATTAAATTATGACCTTCTATTTTCCCGCTGTCTCTGGAACCAGTCCCCTTTCTGCACTTAGTCATCACTTACCCTGGGGCAAGTTACTTAGCCATTTGAACCTGAAAGGAGGCCCTCTGAAGAAGTTAAGAACGGCTCTAGGATTGCTGTGAAGATTAGGAGATAATGGATGAAAGCACTGAGCATAGCCCCAGAATATGTGGCTAATGCTATTACAAAAAAAGAAAATGTCATTATGTCAAATTATGGGTAATGACATGACATTTTTATGGTTGTTGCATTAGTCAGCTTGGGCTGCCATAACAAAATACTATAGCCTGGGAGCCTAAACAACAGAAATTTATTTTGTCTTGGTTCTGGATGCTGGAAGTCCTAGATCAAGGTGCCAGGTGGCTCAATTCCTGCTGGGGACCTGCCTTGACACTCTTGGATGGCTGCCATCTTGCTCTGTCTTCGCATGGTCTTTTCTCTAATGCATGCCGTCTTTTTATAAGGGCACCAGTCCTATTGGATTAGGCCCCACCTTTCTGACCTCATTTAACTTCAATTACATCCTAAAAGCCCTACCTCCAAATATAGTCACCCTGGGGGTTAGAGCTTTGACATGGGAACCAGGGAGGGGACACAATTCAGTCATCATTGTTATTAATATTCTTGGGGTCAGGGGCGCCTGGGTGGCTCAGTTGGTGAAGTGTCTGCCTTTGGCTCAGGTCATGATCCTAGGGTCTTGGGATGGAGCCCCATATCTGGCTTCCTGCTCTGCAGGAAGTCTGCTTCTCCCTCTGCCTGCTGCTCCCCCTGCTTGTGCTCATTCTCTCTAACAAATAAATAAAATCTTTTAATTTTTTTTTTTAAGATGCTGAAATGGCCAAAAAATATGTGAAAAGAGAACAGATCTCATTAATGCTTAGGGGAATGGAATCAAAAGCAAAATGTTCTACACACACACACACACACACACACACACACATGCACACACACCAGGATGACCAAAATGAGAAGATTGCACACTCTGGTGAGGAAGTACAGCAAATGGAAATGACCTGCCCTGCCCACAGGCATTTTCTGACAGTGGATTAGCACAGAGTCATAAGAACGAGCCAACTTCCGCCGCGCACCTGAGCAGGGATAACCCTCAGCGCTGAGAGAGAACACTGGATGAGAGAAGTCACACACAAAACATGCGCCCTCACTAAATTCTTTTTACGTCAGTAGAAAACAGAGCAAAGCGGAGCTTGTATTCATTTCCCAGGGTTGCCATAACCGTTGATCTCTACATACTCCATGACTTTCAACAGAAGGAATTCATTCTCTCACAGACAGGAACCTGGAAGTCCAAAGTCAAGATGTCGGCTTTGTTCCCTCCAGAGGCTCCAGGGGAGAACCCATGGTTACCCCTTCCGGCTCCTGGCGGCTGGAGGAATACCTTGCCTGACCCCATCATGGTGGTCTCCCTCTCTGTCTTCTCCTTCTCTGTCTTCCCATGCCCTTCCCCATGTGGGTCTTTTCCCTCTTCTGTCTCCTGTAAGGACACTTGTCATAAGAGCCAGAGCCCATCCGGGTAATCCAGGATGATCTCTTCTCCAGATGGCTAATTTAATGACACGAGAATACCTTTTTTCCAAATAAGGTCACATTTGTGGCTTCTAGGGATTCTATTTTTGCAGAGTGTGGGGGAGGCACAGTTCAGTCTGCTACCACGCGGGATAGTGGGTTCATTTGGGGAGATTAGTGACTAGAAGGCCACAAGGGGGCTTTGGAAGGCTTGGTAATGTTCTGTCTTTAATCTGGCTACTGGTTACGGAGGTGTGTTTACTCTGTGAAAATTCACCAAGCCGGACACCATAAATAAATACATTTATTTATGTATGTTGAGATATGGTGATATGATGATTCTTTCTTTTCAAAAGAACGCATCAAAGGGGTTGGTAAAGATTGTCTGCTCTTTGCCGATCTTCCCAGCTTCCTAATGAAGGGAGTTTGGGGTTTTCTGAACAGACCATCCTTAGAGATGACATCTCAACTTTTGTCAGATATGGAGGCTTCAGTAGAAAGAGGGTCAATGACAGATCACACACTCCAGAAGAAACTACAGAATTTTTTTTTAACAGAAAAAAATACAGAAGAAAACACATCCTTGACTCAGATCATTCTAGAACTATCATGTGGGAAGCAGAGAAGCCACTCATCATGTGAGAGCAGCATTACGACTGGCCGGTGGGGATTTTATATTATGTCTCGGTGTAATGAAGAGCCTCCCCCTTCTGGGGTACGTTAGGCAGAAGAGAGGCTCCCAACCATGTCCATGCCTTAATCCCTGGACTCTGTGAATATGTTAGATCCCACGGCAAAGGAGAATTAAGGATGCAGGTGGAGACGGATGTGATTTGACAAGGACTCCATCTGCGTTGCTAGCTTTGAAGATGGAGGAAGCCAAGAGTCCAAGAAACAGGGACAGCTCACTTCCTGAAGCTAGGAAAGGTGAGGGAATGGATTCTTTCCTGGGGCTTCCCAAGAGGAATGGAGCCCAGCCAACACCTTGATTGTAGTCCCACGAGACCTACTTTGGACCTCTGACCTCCAGAACTGTGAGATAATACATTGGTGGTTTTTTTTTTTAAAGGCTTTATTTATTTATTTGACAGACAGAGAGATCACAAGTAGGCAGAGAGGCAGGCAGAGGGAGAGGAAGGGAAGCAGGCTCCCTGCTGAGCAGAGAG